GACATACCCAATTCTAGCAACCGTTCCTTATATGTTTTAGCCTCCAGTCCCCTAATCATCTTTGTTGCTCTTCTCTGTACTCTTTCTAGAGTCTCAACATCTTTTTTACATCGTGGTGACCAAAACTGGATGCAGTATTCCAAGTGTGGCCTTACCAAGGCATTGAAGAGTGGTATTAATACTTCACGTGATCTTGATTCTATCCCTCTGTTAATGCAGCCTAGCACTGTGTTGGCCTTTTTGGCAGCTGCAGCACACTGCTGGCTCATATTTAGGTGATTGTCTACTAGGACTCCGAGGTCCCTCTCACAGTTACTACTATTGAGCATGGTGCCACCTATGCTGTACTTGTGCATTTGGTTTTTCTTGCCTAAATGTAGAACCTTGCTTTTTTCACCATTGAATTTCATTTTGTTAGTTAGTGCCCAGTGTTCAAGTCTGTCCAGATCCTTCTGTATCTTAAGCCTGTCTTCTGGAGTGTTGGCTATTCCTGCCAGCTTGGTGTCGTCTGCAAATTTGATGAGTTCCCCATCTATCCCTTCATCCAAATCGTTGATGAAGATGTTGAAGAGTACTGGGCCCAGAACAGAGCCCTGGGGCACCCCACTACACACTTCCCTCCATATAGATGCAGTTCCATTGAGGACCACTCGCTGAGTACGGCCGGTCAGCCAGCTACGGATCCATCTGGTGGTGGTTCTGTCTACCCCACATTTTTCTATCTTGTCAAGTAGTAGGTTGTGATCTACTTTATCAAATGCCTTACTGAAGTCCAAGTAAATTATGTCCACAGCATTCCTCTGATCCACTAATTTTGTCACTTGGTCAAAGAATGCAATAAGATTTGTCTGGCATGATCTATTTTTGACAAACCCATGTTGGCTTTTAGTAATGACTTTGTTTGCCTCTAGGTGTTCGTTGATTCGTTGTTTGATTATCTTTTCCAGGATCTTCCCAGGTATTGAGGTCAGGCTGATAGGTCTGTAATTTCCTGGATCCATTTTTACCTCTGTCTTTTCTTATTACCTAATTTAATTTCATTTGAAATTAATATCTTCTAGAAATCTTCAAGATTATGGCCTGTAGCAGAATGTCTCAATTTTAGCCTTCTCACCTTGTTTTCATTCATTTTTGGAATTCAGCTTTGGTCCTGTTCACCTCTGTATGCCTTCATGCTACTCATATTTAATTTATAAGTATTAACTTTAAGTTTTTGGTTATGATCGAAGAAAATCTTTGAGTTTGAGAAGAAAATCCCTAAGTTTGAAATATTTACTAAGCTATTCAAAAAATAACTTGATTGAATCCAAGCCAATGAGGGTTAAGGATGATTTAGAGTTTGTTATAAGTACAATGCTGCTCCATACTATATGTTTCTATTTACTTCCTGAGATATTGCTGCTTCAGAGTTGGCATTGTTTCTCAGCTGGGAAAAGCACAGTGGAAGCTAGTGGCTTCTAGATCTGCATTGGCATTGTGTCTTCTTGCCATAAATAGCTAAGTAAATGCTTTATTGCAACCCTGGCCTACTTAGAGGCACAAGCATGCTCTACTAGCTGTTTGTTTGATTTGTCAAATTCATGAAGGTTGATCAACTCTATATGATATAGAGATATTTTCTGTAGCATCGATTTTTCCCTTGAATTTCTTAACCATGGGAAATCAGTTTATTTGAAAAGTGATTTTTGAAAATGATTTACATTGAAACATGTGGAAATTGTAACTGCAATGCTGGTTATAAGGAGTTTCTGTAATTAGTAATTGTAGACTTTTTGCAGACTTGTAAAGTGGTTTTCAACAACCTATGCTAATAATGTTTCTAGCACTTATAAAATAACAGCTTGCTACTATTGAAACTTTGAGGCATTTTAGTTCAGGAATTGCTATCAGTCATATGGAAAACAATGAAGCTAAATGTATAATCTTACTGCATTGTGTTTAAAATGTTGCACACACTCTCATGTATTATATATCTCTTAGGTTACACTTTGGCTTTCCAAAATGTTTGTAAAAATAGCAATTGCCTTCACGCACACATTCACATATACATATACACATTTGGACTTAGACCATAAAATAAAATGTTATTTTAGCAGGCCTTTGATAATTTCCATGTGATAAATATGGGAGGAAGAATCCTTCTTTAGTCTATTGCAGCCATTCTCAACCACAGACTTCATAGTGCAGAGTCAGTTGACATAGGAATAAGAAGTGATAGTATGTCAAACTACAAAGAAAGCATTAACCATTATCCTGCTATTGTTTCTTTTATACTGCTCTTCTCTCTCTCCTGCTTCTCCCTTTTTTTCATCATCCCTGGAGATCTGATCCCTAAAACCAAATCTGAAATCCAGAATTTTAGTGTTTCTGTACCAAGAGATTCTCAGCTTTTGTGAAATTAGCTGGAACTATATTGAAATTATATTATAGTTTATGCTTCTTGCTCCATTTCTCCTTGCTTTAAAAGGGTTAATGAGATAGAGTTCCACTGTATACTTAAAAAAGTGTATTTAATTTTCTTATCTTTGTTTGCCATGTTCCAAATGAAAATAGCTGTCAGGAACTCTCTAACTGCTATCAGATGAGCAGCTACTACTGCTGCTTAATTTCCATGATGAGAGTAACAAGAGTTAGAAGTATGTCTGGCACTGTCTGAAGGTATTAGAAACCTGGGCATATGCCCCCTATAATTGAGCAGAGAGACATATTGCAGTAAGTAGATTAGGATATTTCTTTTGTTCTACTAATCTGATTTTTATTTTTTTGCATTCATATTAAAATCTCAGAGGCATTTAAACAATGTCTGTCCTCGCAGCAGCAATCCTGTGAGATAGTTTTGGCTTAGATAAAATGATTAACTCAAAATTAGACAGTTCCAGGCTGAGTGGGTAACCGAACCATGATCTTTCAGGCGCAGTCCAGAACTGAAAATACTACATTACATTTTATGTGAAACATGTAACAATATTTTTCATAATGTCTCCACCTCCATAAAGTTTATCTTACACACACACACACACACACTCAAGTGCTGTTTGAAAGAGGTTGGATTATTATTGTTATTGTTATAGAAAAATGTGAAATCACAACTGTCAGCCTTCATATATAGTACATCAAGTTCTTCCTAAGAGCCTAGGATATTGTAAGGTATATATCAATGTGTGGCCAATGTGCAGCCTTTTGCAATTGATAGATGGAAAGGTAATTGTAATGTGTTGTCCAAGATTTTTTGGTATATGGCATTCAGTTTGCCAGTAATCACTGAGATCATCACAGCTGGTTTATGCCATAATTTTTAATTTTTTAATTTTTCAGATTGTCATACTTGGTAATTTTTTCCAATTCCTGGTATTGTCTATTTTCTCATGGAATTGTCACATCAATTATCCATATTTTTTTTCTTTTCAACCACAGTTAAATCTAGTCTGTTATGAACCATATCTTTTATCAGTTTGTATTTGGAAATCCCACAATATTTTAACCTGCTCATTTTCATCTACTTCTTCAACTCTCTTTTCCCATCAATTTTTCATTACTGGCACATAATAATTTTTACAAATGTTCCAGTGAATCATATAATAACAAAATATAATTGATAATGAAAAATCCTACAAAAGGGGAAGCACCAGATAACTAAAGTCCAATTACCTGCCCACTAATAACTTTCCAATTTGTAATTAGTGTGGTAGCTGATGTAGTCCTGCATCAGGGGTGTCAAACTACTGGCCCGTGGGCTAGATGCATCATAGCGAAACTGCGCCCACCCCATTGCTGGCAATGGCAAAAAAGTCACGATACATCGTGACACGTCACGTGATATTGCGAGTTTGATACCTCTGTCTTACATCATTTAATTGAAAACAAGCTCTTTTCACATGAGCAAAAAGGAAATTGCCCAAACAGCAGAGGAGATTCACTACTACAGATTCTCATTGAACTGATTCCTCTGTCAACAATACTGAATAAGTCAGGACATAGCTATCAAACATTAAAAACAACTGCCAAGCTGTGGTATCTCATCTCCTTTACATGGATGATCTGAAGTTGTATGGAAAATACCATCTGAAATAGAATCATTACTCAACGCTGTCTGTATAGCGAAAATATTTCAGTGGAATTTGGACTGGACAAATGTGCCATCCTCACCTCTAATATGGGAAAAAGTAGTGAAAATTGAAGGAATGGAGATGCTCTATGGAAATTACATCAAGAGTCTGGATGAAGAAAATAACTACAAATACCTGAGCATCCATCAAGCTGACAATATCAAGCATACTAAAGTCAAGAAGAAGTTAGAATTGAATATGCATGAGAGTGAAGGAGGACTTAAAATCCCAATTTAGTGGAGGAAATACCATCAAAGCAATGAACACCTGGGCAATTCCAGTCATGAGATACACAGCTAGAATAGTGAACTTGACCCAAAGAGTTTTTTTATTTTTTTATTAAAACAATTTTTATTGAAGTCAAATAGTAATATTCAGAAGTTTTTAACTGTCCACACATTCTTCATCAAACAATATAATTTAAAGAAAAAGTACAAGCTCTGGAAGAGGTTTGATTGATGTGAGGATCATGTTGTTAAAAGTTATATTTGAAATATGAAAGAGTCTCCAGACATATAATTAGTATTATCAGAGTCACAGAGTGACTAAGAAGTATCTACATATTTCTGGAGGTTTTTTCCCCCCAATATTGAATATATAGAGAAGATAATGTTTTCAGCTTATAAATCACCATTTCATTATGTCATGGGCCCTTTAGTTAAAATGTTCCTTATTTTATTTTGTGGTTTTTCAATTATTTTTAGCTTGTAATGGTATTAATTGCTGTTTTTTACTTATTATTTATTTATTTATTCGTTAAATTTATTTGCTGTCTATCTTGCCGTGGGCCTACTCTAGGCAGCTAGAGTATTTTGTCCTGTGACTGTGTTGCAATTAGTTATAAATACACGATAAATAAACTTATTGTTTCCACTTTGTTATTGTTTGCTTTAGAATAAAATAATAAATAGTGAAGATGATAATCTAAGGAGGTTGGATAAAGAAAGGCTTCAACTTCATGATCAACTGCAAAGTGTGAAAACTGAACAGGAATCCATCTACTCTATGATAGGAAGTGAAGTTGATGCAGCTTGTCAACTCTTTTCAAGAGATTCTATGGAGAAAATCACAGTAATTATCTCTCAATTGTTTTAATTTATTTATGCATGTCATTTTATTACTATTTCTATATTCCCAAGTTCTACAAGTGGTCACAAAAGAAAAATGAGGGCATAAAATGTGAGAACAGTAAAGTATGACATGAAACGCACAACAACTTAAAATAGAAGCAAAGTAAATTCAGTAGAGAGGACAACAGCTATTGAAGAAGCATTAAATGTATATTTATGATTGAGTAAGTAACAAAGTCTTACTTAGTCAGAAAAGAAAAATATCTTCAGCTTCAATTGACAAGGCTAAACTCTCTGGGGACAATATTCTGTAATTGTAGTGCCAGCATTGCAAATACCCTCTTCACTAATTATCAGTCTCTTTGGCAAGGAGAACCAATCTCCATAGGTACATATGGAAGTCCTTTTAAACATAATTGGTTGCTTCTCATTATTAATGCAGATTTTTCCTCAAACAACAAAGTGAATACTGCACTTTGTAATCCACATGCTGTGTCTGTAGTCATCATGTGACAAGTTCTTAGTAAACTTGTGCCAGGGTTTCTAATCTGGGACACATACTAAATCATGAAGATTACATTTTAATTTCTTTTTTATGTTTTGTTCTATTGGTTTTATCTAAATGTGTATTTACATTGCAAACCTCTCAAAATGGTAGTTCTTAATACATAAAAAACTTGGGAAAAATAATTTTTAACAATTTTTCAGTTGCTATTAGCCTCTTTCTCTAATAATTCTGAAATAATTTAAAAATATCTCTTTATATTATGAATAATCTAAGTTTGAAATGGTTAAAAAGAAAATAATTTTTGTTTTTTTGTTTTTGATTTTTGTTTACTGTTTTATATAACTATTTTAATTTCATGAATTACTGGACCGAGCAGTTGCCAAACATTTTGTTAAAAGGATTGGCTTCAAATCTTTTCTGAAAATCTGAATATACTGAACCTGGGTATTCAGAATTAATTATTGGAAAAAGGAACTACATAATTGCTCATTATCGATGACTTGTTTCAGGGTGGCCTTCCGAGTAGTAGTATCTTCACCATACATCCCATAATATCCATCCTTTTATATTCACTGTAAATGCTGATCTGTTTACTTACTGTTTTTTGATACCATAGCTGACTGAAGATTTAGCATAATTTCCTTGTTCAAATTATTCTTCATCCTCATAGTACTAAGATTATTGTTTAACTGATGTCACTTAGGACAAATGAGACTTGTTCAGTTCCTCATTGCTTTCTGAATATGCACAGTTCTCATTCTGGAGTGGTATTGTCTGTCTTTAGAGATAGAATTAAAACTGGATATTGTTACATTAGAAAGTTTCAGTGTTTCAAATATTCCTCCAAAATATACCTACTCTTGTGTTAAAAATATAAACTATAGAATATATTGTGCAGTTGTAAATATAAATGAACAAATCTTTTATATTAAAATGTGTATGCCTAAGTAATACAACTAGCTCGTATATAATATGTGTCCATATTTTCATTTTCATTTTTAATTTAGGCAACATCACTTACATCTGGTATACCGAATGATCCTCATCGCTGGTTAGCAGAGACAAAAGTAAGTGAAGATCTTTTAAAACCTAAATTAAAATTTAGCTACAGTAGTTAATCTGAATTAGTTCCTTAGTAATTCAGAGGAAATGTACAGTACAGTTCTTGTGTCTCATATTGTGTTCTGCTATATCCCAGTAATACTTTCATGTATTTAAATATTTGGCCCTTCCATATAGATATTTAATATTTATATAAATCTGCCACATCCCTTTTGTAGAAAGCTAGGAGCACATTAGAGATTTCTCCAGTAAAGTACTAGTTTTCTCTTTCATTATAGAAGCTGACTAATGCATAGCATTTTATCTTCATCTGTATTTTTAAACAGTGCATATTCACTATATTCTGTGGATGCAATTTGTAACATTGTTCTAGAGTTTATCTATCTATCTATCTATCTATCTATCTATCTATCTATCTATCTATCTATCTATCTATCTATCTATCTATCTATCTATTTTTCATATTACTGAACCACCCATCTCCCTCAAAGAGGAATTCTGGTCAGTGTGCAATAAAATGTTAAAATATAAAACCGTATGTATAATAGTTAAAAATTTTAAGAGGAGGCAAGGAATTAAATGAGTTAAAAGGTGAAAAGAGGTATTTCAGGAGATTAACCAACTCCATAGCTGCGTGCTCCTTTGGGGTCCCTACCTGAAGCTGTAGAGCCATCTTTTATTTCTTTTTCAGAAGGCCAGGAGAGTGGGAGTCTGCCTCGCTTCTGGGAGGAAGAATATTTTACAGAGAGGTCAATAGCAGAGAAAGTTCTCTTTCCAGACCCCACCAGTCAGAGTTCTTTAACTGACAGAGTTTGTAAACATACCTTTCCTGCCTGACCTGAGAGGAAAAACTGATGTAATGGGACAGACTGCTCCATAGGAGCGGAGAGAAGTCTATGATACACCACAAAGCAAGGGCCAAAAGCTGAACCTCTCACTCTCTATCCACATGATTGGGGCCAACCTTGAAGGAAGGAAGTGAACCAGCACAAACTGTGCTACCTACTCCCAACTTCTTAAAGGAAGCCCAAAGGGATACTATGGTTGATGGTTTTGAAAGCCATCGATAAATCAAGAAAAGGAAGGATGGATGGACCACTTCTATCCCGCCAAAGATCATAAGTGGGACCAATGCCATTTTGGTTGCATATCTGGGCCTAAAATCTGACTAAAGAGTACAGCTAATCTGTTTCCTCCAGGTTCCTCTGGCGTTGCAATGGCACCGCCTTCTGAACTACTTTCCCTACAAAGGAGAGGTGGGAGATTGGACAAGAATTGTTCAGAATGTAGAATACAGCAATGGCTTGAGGAGGGGGCACACTAGCGCCTCTTTAAAAGGAGCTCAAAACACCCCCTCCAAAAAGGATTAATTGACCATTGCTTGGATCCATCCACATGACATCTCCCAGGTGACCTGAACAAGGAGGGGCAAAGATCTAATGCACAGGTGGCGGTGTTTACATTTTGGAACACCCTGTGGTCTCCTCAGGTCTAGCAGAATCAAACTGTTCCCAGATAACTGGGTGGCTCCAAATAACTGGGTAGGTAATTGTAATGCTGTAATGCAGTTAGTTATTCATTCCAAAAGAAAATTCTTGAGGATAAATTGTATATGCTGATAGCACATTTCAGTTATATTCTATATGTGTAATGAAAGGGCACCGTCCCTTTCATTTCTCATTTTCAAATGCTAGTCTTAATTGTCTTGAATTCACATATTTTTCAAAACCTTTTATGAGACTTTGAAATCTGATTCCTTTTTCCTATAATCTTTGGTTCCTTTTTTTTAGCTTATTAGATCAAGACATTGCCCGTTAAGATCTAACCATTATTTTATTAGTTCAGTGACTTTGTAAGCAACTTCATCTTGTATCTTTTAATAATGTTAAACTTCTCTCAATTGGAAATGCCTTTTCTACTTCATGAGACAAGGCTTGTCTTTATAGTATATTAGGGTCACAATGAAAGGAGAACTGTTGACCAACTGACTTGGGTGAAATTGCATTTGTTTGCTAGCAAGATTGCCTGAAGTTATTGATGGGTTTGTTTGTAATGCCTATGGACCAAGAATGAATATCACCATAAATAGTGGAGATAAGAGTTTGAACTGGAGGACAAGGGCAGTAGAGGAAACAGACTCACTATTCAGATTGTTCATGCTGAAACTCCAGGCACTAAGTATCAAGAAGGGTATGTGGTAATTGATTCATAAATCTGCCAGTTGAGTCCTCTTTAGTTATTAGTAGGTTAGTCATGAAATAAAAGGGCTTTTGAAAAATGGTATATTTTGCACTTGAAAAAACAAATTGACTTAATAATTGTTTTGTTAAGAAATACTGCTTTATCCATCAACTCTTTCACTGCCTGGGTTCCTGCCTTTGCAATTGAACACTGTGAAGAGATTAAATACAGTGCCTACTTTTAGAGGGCCAGAGCAATGAACTTTGTATACACAATAAAATTTTTAAGAATGACCTTTCCTAAAGCAGCCCTATTTATCCTCTTGGAATTTCAAGGAGATTTGGAAGGGAGCCTTTAATTCAGAATATAGAACTGTAGCTGATTTGGAGGAAGGGCAGGGAAAGAAAGATGTTGGCATTGTTTATAATGCTTATAATTTTATGTGAGGAACATAATAATGGTAAATAGAAAAAAGTCAGAAGTATCATGGCATGAAGAATCATAAGATGTGTTGCACTGTTTATACACTGCTCTTTTTACAGTGTTTATTATTTAACTGAAGAAATTAAAAATGCATGTGTTCTGTCCCATTTATCTGGTTTCCTTTTCCAATTTAATGGATTCATAGGAGTGAGTTGTACATTTTATACTGTTGATAAAAAAAGTGGACAAGAAAATCAAGCAAGCCGGACATTTTAGACACAAGAGACAGGGCAAACATGTCATTTTTCAGTTAAATGTGGAAGTGATATGATTCTGCCCTGTTATTAAGGGTAGTATATAAATTGGCCCTATTTTTTAGGTTCCCAATGAAGAACTGAAGAAATGTATGGGATTTACATTCCCATAGGAAATACAGGGCAGATGCCCTATTTCTGAAACTAATAATTGTAGGATATGATTTGAACAGCTGAGATTACTTAAATACATTGAAATATTTGTGGGTCCTTTATTATTAGAAACATTTGAAACTGCTGTGATGAGGACCATATGTCAATTTTATTCCTTGGTAAAGTAAACACTTTTTCTTAGTAAGTAACTTAGAAAAAGAATATTTGTGTCCTCATTTTACTGTTGTCATAGTCATTTGCAAATTACACTATTATAAACTCAATATTACCTGGTTGTAATGGAATGTGTGGATGACCTTCGGAAGAGGCAGGATGGTCAGTGACTTAATGGTCAGAGAAAAAAACTTAGGAACTGCCATAATCAAGCAGTTAAAAATACTGGCAGGAAGTTTGTACTATCAGACTTGCAAAGTTGTTACCAGCTTTTCCAGGTAAACCAGACAGGAAGCAGAACAAAATGAACTAATATGAAAAAATACCATTTAGCTTTTTTATAACTTGTATAAAAACTCTACTTTTTTTTCTTTGCTTTGCTTTTTTTTAAAATATTTTTTCTTTTTAAGATTTATAATTCTTTATTCATATATATTTTGTTCTTAATTATCTTATAATTTTGTTAATTTCTTTTAATTAAGCCTATATTCTGCTCTGGGAAGCTCGGGGGGAGGGAGGGGGTGATTTGGGAGGGGTTGGGGGAGGGTTGTATTGTTTTGTTTTTTGTTTTTTTTGTCTTATTGTAGTTGTCATTGTTTTTTTCTGTCTTTGTAAAAGTTTTTAAAAAATTTTCAATTAAAAAAAAATGAACTAATTCTATTTCATTGTAAGGCTACATTAACAATCTTACATATCTGAAAGTGTTTTGGGTTTTTTTGGGGGGGGGTCTGATTGTTTCCTAGCCTTATTTGTAAACTGGTCACAGTAGCCCTTTGACAATTCTATTGTTGTATTCTTGACCTATGCCGGGGTAGGCAACCTTGGCTCTTTTATGACTCGTGGACTTCAACTCACAGAATTCCTGAGCCAGCATGGCTGGCTCAGGAATTCTGGGAGTTGAAGTCCACGAGTCATAAAAGAGCCAAGGTTGCCTACCCCTGACCTATGCCAAGACCCTTAATCACACAAGAAACCACCACTATTGAGTGGATTGAGTAATTGCTGAAAACTACTGTAACACCCAACTGTGCGGCATGCTACATTTATGGTTATTGATGTTGTCTACCTTCCATCTGTATTTGACTAAAATCTTCACAAATAAAGATTTTGAAGAAGTCCTTGTTTTGGGTTACAGGACCTTATTTTGTTTTGAATTTAGATGTATTTGATAGAACTGTATCTGATGAATGATAAAGTTCTCTTCCATTAAATTTAATAGGAATACATTTTCTTCTAGGCTAAACTTAGATGGCTTTGTGAAGAAGTGAAGGAGAGACAGACCAAGGAAAAGAAGCTTCGTCATCAGTTGCTACAGAGCCGGGAGCAATTAAAGCAGCTGACCTTGAGCAAGGAAACTGAGCACCAAAACCTCATAGGTCAAATAGAAAAGCAGGAACAACTACTAGAAGAAGTTTATCAAGAGAAAAAATGTGAGTTTATAAGATCATGTTAATTAACAACAAATCCTTTTGAATTTCCCATGTCAGCCATATCTCTGATTGGTCTAGTACGGGGCTTTTCAACCAGTGGTACGGGTACCACCTGTGGTACATTGGCACCTGGCAGATGGTACGCGACTATCCTAGTAAAGTAGTGGGGGAGGGGAATGAGCTGAACCGGTGGCAGCACCGCACAAGCCTGAGCGAGAGATGGCTAGAGCTGCAGGGCTGTCAGGGCTTCTTCAGGGCTCAGCAGAAGCACCAATCAACTGGAAAGTAGCACTGATCCTGACACTTCTGCTGAGTCCAGAAGAAGTGCCGATCAGCTGAAATGTTGCAGCATCTCCAGGGTCTTGTGATTTACATTCAGATGCTTGGCAACTGATTCATATTTATAATGGTCACAGTGTCATGTGAAGTGACCAAAAACTGCTGCAACCACCCAGCAGACTGGGGGAATAAAAACCAAACACCCCCCACCCCACCCCTGCTGCCAATCCTCAACAGAAATGCTCACAACAATGAAAACCTCGGACAAGAGAAAGAGCACCACCAGGTGGGCAGGCAGGTGTCTTGCTCGGCTGTGGCTTGGGGGGCATTTTTTTCAGTGCCATTGTAACTTCGAACAGTCACTAAGCGAACTGTTGTAAGTCGAGGACTACCTGTACTTTATCAAGTTTTTGACACCTTGCTAGGGGACTGGTGGTACTCGGATGTTGCCATATCCTAAAAGTGGTACAATGGGTGAAAAGGTTGAAAACCCCTGGTTTAGTAATCTCTCTCTCTCCCTCTCCTTCTCCCTCTCCCTCTCTCCCTCTCCCTCTCCCTCTCCCTCCCTCCCTCTCCCTCTCTCCTCTCTCTTTTCTTTCTCTCTATAATAAAATAGTTGAAATCTTGAATTAGTTTAAAATTGAGGTTTCTGTTAGAAATGGTAGTTCCTTATCACCTTCTTTGCATTATGTAAGAGTTATATGATCTGAAAAGAAACTAGTATTGCCAGTGAATCTGGCAGATAATCTGCTTCACCATGACATAGTTAACCAAACTTGAAGTAACCTAGTCACCGGAGAGCCTGGCATGATGTCATGCCCTCCCCTTGGCTGCTCTTGAAGGCTGATATAGGAAAATTCCCTACCTGGAGAGGCAATGTTCCCGCGCATACAGAAACAACAGAACATGTGCTCCTCTAGTGTCTATATGACAGAGATATCTGTACTAACCTCATCTCATCAATACTCAGTATAAATACCCAGATCGGACAGGACAATTTTATATCTTCCTGCTTGCAGACACTAATCCTGCTATAAAATATAATATTCCCAGTTCTGTGCAGCAGCTATTAAGATTTCTCAGATGATGACCTGTGTCTCAAACTTGCCTGAATACCATAACATTAGATTTTTAAATCTACAATCTACAAATCTATACATTTTATACATTTAAATCTATACATTTCTTCTTATTAAGCAGCTAGCATTATGGTAAAAGTAGAACTTGCTGCAGTCATCATGCATTTCATTTTGACTTGTAAGCCTGAATTTGCAGTTGTGTTTGTGGTTAGCTGAAGAAATGTTGATTTAAATAAAAATGTATCCTTCCACAAAAAAAAAGCCATGTCTATTGAGAGTGAGAAATGTGCCTTGTATGTAATAGCACCTGCCTCTGGAATGAGGTTCCCTAAGATTTGAATGGCTATCATTCTACTGGTGTTTTGAAGGGCCCTGAACAGATGTGTTTCCCACATAGATCCAGTTCATACAGTAAAACATAACCAATACCAGCCAATTCTGAATTTTGCTGTGTCTAATCCCTTTTTCCTTTGTTTTTAAAAATGTAAAAGAGGAATGCAGCACTGAAAATACAATCAATACATGCCTAACCTGTACAAGGCAATAAAAACAGAATATTCATTCAGCTAAAGTGAATGATAGTTGAGATAATTAATCCAGAATATTAAATTAATTTTGAAAAAAAAATAGTGAGTTCTGTTATCAAATTGATATTTCAGGAGAATTGTAATTTATTCTGCAATCATACATTTTAAACCAGCAGAGAGAAAATTGGGAAAAAGAAATATACTGGAGAAGAACATGGAGATTTAGGTTCAAGCATTATTCGGTATTTTATTTTTATCCTTTTCTTTTTACAGTTACCAACTTTGTTGAACTGTTTCATTTTAAAATGATTAGTAAGATGCTTGAGTATTCTTTTTCTGCTTCTTAAATCTTGTGCTATTAGAATAAAAAGGTAATCCAGTTACCAATATTCAGAGCACATCTCTGTAAATCTCTTAAGACTTAGTGAAATCCTGATGTTGCTGATTTTTTTAGACTGGCTATAGTTTATATTTTAAGGCAGATAGTAATGTGTTTTATTTGCTTTGGTGGGTGCGCATTATATTTGTTCAACTCTTGGTTCAATCAAACAAACATTGTAGATTAGAATGTAAGATTTTAGAAGACAGTGGAATGAGTGTCCACACTGCAGACATCAGTAGCTCTCTAGAGGTTATAATTATTTCTGATTTTCCATCTTTGCCAGTCTTCAGTGTTTTCACTTAAGTAATCATGACCCCAAACAATCAAGCAAAAATTTTATGCACTCGTGTTCACTACTGTTGTCACCCATAGTCTTTTCTGTAATTACTGTTTTTAGAATCTTTGTCTTACTGAAGTAATTAGCAAAATATATTTAACACTTAAATTTAATAAACAAAGATCCCATTCTGGAACTAAAACTTAGTTCAGATTTTTGTTTTATACTACACTGATTTGAAGTCATGGATAGTCCACTGAGATCAATGATACATTTTATGTATTGTAAAAAACTGAAGCCATTATATATGGCCTACCACAAAACAAAGTTTTTAAGTTCAAACTGAACTGTAATCACCTTTTATTGTAGTCTTGATGGCTACAATTATCTACATTATGATATAGAACGTTATTTAATAAATGGCAGGTTGATGGCTCATCTCAAGACACTGGGCTTGTCGGAGAGTTGACAGCCCAGGTTCAAGACCCAAACATCACATGATGGGATGACCACCCATCTTTGCCTAGCTCCTGCCCATCTAGCATTTCAAAAGCATGCAAATGTGAGTAGATATATAGGTACCACTTCAGTGGGCAGAAAACAGCACTCCGCGATGCCACATGACTGCAGAAACATCTTTGGACAATGCTGGCTCATGGCCTTGAAACAGAGATGAGCACCATCCCATATAGTTGACAATGACTAGCGGAGTAAAATCCACAGAGACATCTTTCCTTTCCTTCCTTACTTAATAATATATAAGCTTTGTAATATATAGATAAATACTTCCAGATATACAAATAAATGTGATAGTTTAGAAGTGCCAGTTTTCATTTCCAGATTCTCATCAATAAAATCTTTCTTGATGCAATATTATTACATTTTAGTCAAAATGTAGGGTATGCAGTGCCACTTTTGTTCAGTTACAAAATTAACTGTGTCATCCATAATTTATGCAACTGTCTAGTTTAAAAATTACATTTATGAAAAGATTCAAAATTATATTTTATTTGCAGCAGAACCTTGTGTGCAATAAATACGAATATTTTTGCAAATTTCATAGCTTTTCTGAGTTTTATAAGGAGCAGCATATTAATGTACTATATGTATCTGTAAATTAATATAATACATGGCTCTGCCAGGCATATACTTTTAATGTTAAATCTTCCATAGCGATATTAAATATCTTTGAAGTGTAATAGTAATTTTTTTATTAACTTAATTTTAAAAAAATTAAAGCAACTTAATCTCTCAAATTAAACAACATTTTATAAGAAGTGTAAAATGCATAACTTTAAGGAAATGAAATAAAAATAGAAAATATTCCCTTGATAATGGCAATAAAATCCTTCTGGCTTTTGATTTACATTAATTCACTAACTGGATTATTGTATGGAGTCATTCCTATAAATGTCCTTATATATTTATGGTATAATTTTACCTTAATTCATGAGTATCAAAGCATAAAATCATTTGCAATCATTGTTATATCTGTCCTGAAGTTATTTGTTTTCTTGTATATATAAAAGTTTGATGCCAACATCAACAGAGAATTCACAGAAGTACTATTAGTAATTTTTTTCCGGTTTTGCTCTCTGCAAACTTTTTAAAAACCTATTAAGAGTGCATTGGGTTGTAATTAGTCTTTGAAGGGGTTTTAATCAATATGAACACTGGCTTAACATTCTGATGATAACTTCAAATCTTTATAGATTTAATTGTGGATACTGATATAACAGTAGATTATAGTGCATGGTACATAAACTATGGAAAAGGTTTTGAAATGTCATTTAGATCAGAAATGTGGTTTTTATACTAGTCCAGACCCCATGCATATGCCTTTCCTTCTCTATTTAGTAATGCTGATAAAACATTCTTGCATTCTTAAAAAAAATAGGCAAGATGTTTTTTTAAAAAGTAACCATTAGTTTTTTGTGCAAACAGTCATATACGCCTGCTGTTGATTATTAACGTGGAGGGGAGGATACTGCAAAATACATATATAGAAGAAGCAGGTTTTTTATATTCTATGGTTTGTATTCTGTGATTATAGTTACAGATTTCCTTAGGCAATAATATTGCTGTTTAAATTTTCAATCAAAGTATAAAAAGGTAGCAGTTCAGAATATAGTTCATATGTGGTTGGCAATATTAAGGAATTCAGGATTATATCCAAAGTATATCTGAATAACAATTGCATGCATTATTCTTCACCTCTAGTTACTTAAAGGCAGAATTCTGAACAGTGATGAATAATGTTCAATTAAACATCAAATAGAGGAACATCATGTTTCCTAATTATAGATCATATTATAATCAATAATATATGCACTGGCATTTTCAGGGAAATTTCTCAGAAAACAAACAAAAAAAGATATATTAAAGAATGAAAGTATAAAAACTTTATGGATACTAAATCATGATAACTTATCTAAACTGATAACTGTAGATAACTGTGGAAAATATATTTGTGAGCTTGTATTCTTTCTAAAAGAAAGAATACATCTTGGTTTCTATATTTGTGGGGTTCCTTCTTGAACTTACAGATCCTGCTCCAGAAAGTGGCAAATATGGCCTTTACAAATGTTCTTGTGTTCCTATTGTACTCTTATCTGGACCAAGGGGTCTTCATTCATTTATACTTTGGACATCTCATGCATAGACTATTCCGATATACTGTCTATTGTCTGCTCTTGAAAATTAGTCAGAAGCTACAACTGATCCAGAATGCGACAGCACAGGTGACAATGGGCATGTAACACCTTTGTTCCATGAGCTTTATAACTTTCCAGTAAGCTTCCATGTGCAAGTCAAAGTACTGGTTATTACCTATGAAGATATTCATGGCATAGAACTGACTATCTAATGTAGTATATGTTTTCTGTAGCTTCTAATCACACTGTATAATTGGTTCCAGATCCCCTCAGTTAAGCTATATTATATGATGGGATTTAGGAACTGTACCTTCTCTGTCCTAGCACCTGTCCTCTGGAACAACAGCCTCTTGAGATCTCTCTGGGCCCAACTCTGTCAGGGTTTAAAAGAGCCCTGAAAACTTGCTCTTCTTCCACCCTTGAGTTATAGTGAGTTGTGGATCCTGTGCACCGGACTGTTTGTGTTCCCCCCCCCACACTACTCCTTGAATTTCTCTTTTTAAATTTTTATTGTATGCCACTATGGAATTAAATGGTCTTATGATAATAATAATAATATCTACAGGTATTTATTTATGGTTTATATCTTTTTTAAGATTTTTCGAAGAAATTTTAATTAAGCCTATATTCAGCTCTGGGAAGGTCGGGGGAGGGACTGGGAGGGTTGGGGAGGCTTGGGGGAAAATTGTTTTGTTTTTGTAAAATTTTAAAAAAATTTCAATAAATAAATAAATAAATAAATAAATAAAATATCTACAGGTAGTATTGTAGGAAATAATCTTTAGCACAGGAGGATGAATTTACTGTGAGATAAAATATGACCTTAAGTGTTGCTCCTTATGCAAAGCCAAAGATTCTAGTGGTGCCTCTCAAAGAAAAGGTTGAAAAAGATATTTAAAATTTTTCAACCAGTATGATAGAAAGCTAGAACAGTTCCTCTACTAGAAAAGACATGTCTTTTCTTTGGAACAAAAGCATAAAAATCAGATAAGATGGAAATGTATATACTTATGTGTCATATGGAAAATATAGATAAAACTTTAAAAGGCTTTTTCATACCATTAAAAATAATAACAATAGTTCCCTGGCAAGATTCTTTGTTCTTAACTGATTTGTACTGTTTAACAGATCCATGCAGTTCCTGTGTTTAATAGGCATACAGATTTTTGGTTTATAAGTTTGGATGCTTTCAGCTAGTTACTGCCACAACCTCTCTACTTTTTCTCCCAGTTTTCCAAGAACATGAGATACTGTTTCTTCCCTTCATCTTCAAAGACATGCAAAGGGGAAAATGTTTTATGTCAATTATTTGTGCTATTGTTCCAAATATATATTTGTTCATCTTATCTTACTAAAAATATTCTAAAATGTTTTTATTTTGTATTTTACAACTGAGGAATAGTTATCTCTAAAAAAACATGAAATATTTGCATTATGTTGACCATATTCAATGTGCTTAATTTTTCTATTTATTCATTTCTTCTGTCTCCATTGTTTCAGATAATATGTTTTCAAATGTAGTTTTCTCTCACAGAAAAATTCTGTATACAGAGAATAACCTGTTATGCTCCACTTTGATTTTTAATATATATTTTAAAAACCTTTGGAATTTATCTTTGACCCACAGGGTCTGAACTAAGTATCTTTGCATATTTTAGAGATGTTCACAGAAGCATATTTTTCTATTGTTTGAATTGACAATAGTTAAATCGTGCATTCCATCAGCCATCACTGTTTGTTTTTAAAGTATTAGTTATCATTGCTTTGCACAAATATGTGTTTATTTGCTTTTGATGTCTGATATAAATGAAACTGGAAAGCTATACTTTGTCCTCAGGCTAAAGCAGCTGCATATACACCTTTCTTTAAAAAGCCTTTATATAAATTGACCTTTCTTACTTTTTCTTGAATGCAATAGTATTTTGCTTTCAAAAATATCTGCTGAGGATTTTGAGATAAATCAGAAATCCTTCTCCTAAAGTCAGCTTTGAAAAAAAACTGTCACAAGCAAATGCTAAACAGGCCATAAATACTGATTGGCAGAACATGCCTATTTCTTTATTAAACCAGTCCTGAATCTGTCACTGGACCTTCATTGCCCATCCCTCATTAACAACATCCAACTGATGTAGCATTTTATTTCCTTGCTTTATCACCTTTTCAGTGAAATAAGTCTGGTTAGAGTATCTTGTTGATTTCACTCTAATTTTAAACATATTTTATGAGTTTAAACAACCACTTTATCATTCTCCACTGAGCATATTCAGGAAAAAGACAGGGATAGAGTAGGGGCTTTGTACTGCCCCAGCATTTTTTAGTAATGGCTTAAATTCCCAACATCTTTTAGTAGTGGCTATGTGAACGATTTAATTTAAATTCCCAGCATCTTTTAGTAGTGGCTGTATGAACCATTTAATGAAACCCTCTGAGAAGTGAATAAGTTGCCATCTGAACCCACTACTTGAAGTTTGAAAATGCCACATCTTTCTGCTTTAAAAGAAAACGTGCATATGCATATTCAGCCCCTATGCATGCCAAAAGATTTTTCTATCAAGATTTTTGGTAACAAACCAGACAGTGCTGATAATACTGACCACAAGGGAGCCAAAGTTTGACTTATGATAGGGCAAGTTCTTAAATATTTTGAAATCCTCATATAGCATAGTTTTCAATTTCACAATTTTAATTCTTAAAAAATTGAATGAAGAGACACGTTTATTTTTTGAAATTACCATTGCAGCATTCACCAGTATACTGAAGTAAATGTGTAAGTTCTTGATTCTTGATAAAGAAGGCACCCAGGGCCTACAAACGGCAACAGAACAGGTGCTACAGACACCGGTAGACCAGGGCCTACAGACTGCAGCAGACCAGGTGCTACCGGGACTTGACCGGGAGGCCTGCAGGCAGCAACAAGGCAGCATGGCAGAGGCAGTGGAGCAGCAGAGAACCTGACCGGCAGCTCAAGAGAACCTGGCTGAACGTTGGAGATAGAGCAACGGCCGGAGATGGAGCAGTAGAGTGGCAGATGGAGGCAGTTGGTAGGAAGACCTAGTGGAGAAAACCCAGCTACTAAACCTGCTCAGCAGAGAAAAACCAAATAGTAAACCTGCCCAGCTCAGAAAGACCAGCTATTAGACCAGCTCAGCACAGAAAAACTAACTGAACATAGAAGAGACCTCAGAGGAACAACGGCTGGAGGCAACTGGGGGCAATTAGAAAGACCGGCTAAGCACAGGAAGGCAGTCAAAAAAGCAAGGCAGAGAGGATAGAAATAAATAAGGAGCAAATTAAGAAAAGGAAGGATAGGGATGAATTTTTAGGCAGAGAGCAGAAAGCAAAAAGCAAATCTCTTGTTGAGGAGAAAGCAGCTCTTCCATTTGTTAAATAGCCCTATCCTAACATTAACTTTTAACTTCAATATAAACTGCATTTTTTCCCATTAAAACCAAAGGGCATACTGCCACATCCTTTTATCGATACCTAAATAACAAGGAAAAAAAAACCAAGTACAAACAGGCAGAAAAAAGGATAGAAAAAAATAATTAGCTAGAAACAAGGCTAACAGCAAAGCACATCCACCAACCCAAAAGAGGGATTTTCAAACAACAAACTCATGGAACAGGTGGCTGATACTATTGTGGTATGCAGTACATGTTCCATGTATGTGTTTGTACCCAAAGAACATCCAAACTATACATGCATTAGATGTAAACTACTGGAGGAAAAAGTAAGGAACTTAGAGGCAACTCTAGCCAAACCTCAACGTACAAAAGGAAGCTCTACCCAAAGCGAACCAATTAATAAACAAATAATTCCCAGAGGATTTGATGCTACTGATAAACCCTTGTAGGAAGACAAATGGAGGTATGTCACACAATACTCAAAGAAAGAAGCAGCATACAACTAACAAACCCCTTCTGCCCAATCCAACCCAACCAGAAACAGCCCCACTAAAACTGAGCAATTGATTTCTCCCCTTAGATGGAAACACGCAGACCCACAACCTCTCCCTCAAAGAAAACATGCAGATGCCTAGCAAAGAAACTTCAAATAGCCCTAAAAAAGTGACATCAACAAACACATCAGAGATAAACAGAAAAGCACCCCAGACTGCAGCCCCGCCCCATAAGGAAGGTAATAGGAGATTCTATCCTCAAAGGAACGGAATCATCCATCTGCAGACCGGACATACAATCCATGTTGTCTCCCTGGAGCAAAAATCAAAGATGTGGCTGAGAATCTAACCAAAATAATTAAGCTTACTGAATACTACCCTTTCTTCCTCCTCCACACTGGGACAAATGACACAACAAAGAACCTGAGTACAATAGTGAGAGATTACAAACAACTAGGCAATAAAGTTAAGAAGCTAGGAGCACAAGTAATGTTCTCATCCGTACTCCCAATGAAAGGCGAACACCCATTGAGGGAAAAAAGAATTCTAGAAATAAACCATTGGCTGAAGGGTTTGTGTCACCAAGAAAACTTTGTTTTCCTGGATCATGGACTGCATTTCTTACGTGAGGGACTCCTGACAAGGGATGGGCTGCACCTCATGAAAACAGGAAAAAATTCACTCAGAAAAAGACTGGCCTAACTTATCAGGAGGACTTTAAACTAAAATTGAAGGGGGAGGATGACCATTCTTTAGAATCTCTAGAACTCAAAAACAATCCCAAGAAAACAAATCAAACAATGAGGTAGGCAGAGACGAGAAAAAAGAAAAACCCAAGCAACAATCAGGAGATGCAGGAAACATGCCCATAAACAGGCATAAAAGTCTTAAATGCTTATATACAAATGCTCAAAGTTTGGGGAACAAACGGTGAACTAGAAGCAATAGTACACGTGGGAATGTATTACATAGTTGGGATTACAGAAGCCTGGTGGGATGAAACCCATGAATGGAATGGACTGATGGATGGATACAAATTGTTCAAAAGAAACAGGCCTGGAAAAAGAGGAGGGGGAGTTGCATTATATGTAAGAGAACACTACATATCTACAGAAATGCACATGATCCAAGATAAAATCTCTCCAAAATGTATATGGGTTAATATAAAAGAGAAAAGTGACGTTAGCATAGATGTATATTACAGGCCACCCAACCAATCAGAAGAAATAGATGAACTCTTTGCCAACCAGTTAACAAATGTATGTAAGTAGCATACCACAATAGTAATGGGAGACGTCAACTATCTAGCTATCAACTGGGAGACAAACTCTGCAGCGAGCGGGAGATCAAACAGATTCCTAACGAACCTAGCCAACAACTTTGTCATCCAAAAGGTGGAGGAGGGAACTAGATGTAAATCCATACTAGACTTAATTCTAATTAATAGAGAAGTGATAGAGGGAGTTGAAGTTGCCAGAATCTTGGGTGAAAGTGACCATATCATACTGGAAGTTAATATAACGCAAACACTAGCAACAGAAAACAATCCAACCAGTGTCTTGAACTTCAAAAGAGCTGACTTTAGCAAACAGAGAACCTAGGAAAGATCCCATGGATGA